AGTCGAGGGTAGATAGAGATCGGGGTGCGGTCCTCCAGGACCTCGAACCCAGTAGGCCCGACCGGGAGCCAGAGTTCGGAACACTCGGAGAAAATTAAAGTTGCGAGTAAAGAGGAGGTAGGAGGGGAAGGGAGAGTGGCGGGGGTGGTGTTGCAAGAGCGGGACCGGAAGAGCCGGGGGAGAGGCGAGGGAGGAGGGAGGAGGGAGCCAGGAGAGACGAGAGGGCCAAGGTTCTTTTAACGCTTTGCAGCCTGGCTCCCACAGCCTGGCGCCCCAAACCCGCTTAACACCCAGCGGGAGCACTAGAGTTTGAGAGTCAAATTCGCCGAGTTCCAGTTGTCTCCTCTGCTTTTTAGGTGGGGGAGCTTAGACCCGTAGACTAACCCCGCCCCGGGCTGTTCTCAAGTTCACAGAATGAAGATAGCCTATCTCATGGGATGGCAGGCAGGAGTTACTGAGGGAGGACAGCAGCTGGTGCACGGCTGTCCTCAGCGGCCCTCCCTTCGCTCCAGGGTTCCCTCTAATCTCTCTTTTTTGGACGTTTACCCAACCAGCCCCAAACCGGGAAGAAAACCAAATCTAGTTTTCTACCCTGCCTGGGGCCTGACCCTCAGCCTCTCCCACTGACTTTCATCAGGCTCTTCCAGACAGGTTCCCCAGCTGCCCACCATGGCTCTGTCACAGAGAGGAGAGAGAGAGGAGAGAGGAGAGAGAGAGAGAGAGAGAGAGAGGAGAGAGGAGAGAGGAGAGAGAGAGAGAGACCCCCAAGCCTTGGTTGGCTCCCCAGTTATTAAATGAGAGTGTGAACGCCTGCACTGCCCTCACACAGGGAAAGAGGTGCTGTGAAGATTCAGGAGGCCATCTCTGTGAACATGCTTGAGGCTGTAAAGGGTTCCCAGGGCCCTTTTCCCAAACCTGCTATTTTGTCTTGGTTGAAGAAATGTTTCATTTAGCCCAGGCCAGCCTCAAACTCACTATGTAGCTGAGGCTGGCCTTGTACTTCTGGTCCTCTTGCCTCCTACAGGCTAAGATTACAGATGGGTACCACCACACCCAGCTCTAGATGCTTGGATGCATCCATTAGGACTGACCCCAGAGGGAGAGTACTAAATCTTGAAGCTTTAAGGGTAAGGAAAAAGCCACAAGACACAGCATGCTGGGATGCAGAGCACAGAGGACCTGGGTTCCTGGTTCCCTGCACTGTCCTCTCTCTCTTTGAGTGAGACATCGCCTTCTGACTGCCATCCCTTATGAGGGGTGGACACCTTCTGCCATCTCCATGTGTACAGGTGAACCCTACAGCACCGGGACACTATGCACTCAAGTGCCCTTGAGATTTAGTGGCCTTCTTTATGTATGCCAGTTCAGCCTGAGGTCCTTCAGTGGCTGAGATGATGAGATATGGAATGGGACCTAGGGCTTGGGGACTTGAAACCAGAGCTCCTGGCCCATCTCCCTGTGAGCCACCGCTGACCTCCAGCCTCCAGCATGCCCACCCTGAAGCTTCCTCTCCTCTCCTCTGCCCCAGAGGAGCAGCTGGAGGTATCCCCACTGCTGGAGGTCCTCCTCCTCCATCAGACTAGCCCATTTTCAATGTGAAAAAAACCAGGAGAAATAAATGGGGGGGTAGGGTGCCTCAGGGTATAATTCAGTGGTAGAGTGCTTGCCCAGCATAAGCAAGGCCCTAAATCCATCCTCAGTGAGCATGGACATAGACATGGACATGGACACACACACACACACACACACACACACACACACACACACACACACACACACCACAGATTAAAATAGACAAGAAACACACTAACCCATCTCCTAGGGCTGGTTTGGTGGTTAGATTCATATGGAGTATTAGCAAGTGTTTGCCACATGTTAAGTATCATACAATATCAATAATTTGTATTTATAATGAATAACAAATTCAAGGTTCCATGTTTAACATTACAAGGAATTTTTAATTGTCTGTGCAAACTGCCAAAGCCGTTATTACTCAGAGCCTGGCACAAAAGGGGAATTTCCTCCACAGCTTAGGATACATGCTGATTTTTCCTGGTATGTTTGAAGCTTTGAGACAATGTACCACTAAAGTGCTCCGTACAACTCAGTTCTGGAGAAAAGGGTAAGAACAGTGAACCTGAGGGTGTGACAAGCCAAGAATATGACCACAAAGCCAGGCATGGTATCACATGCCTATAACCCCAGCACTCGGGAGGCAAAGACAGGAGAATCCTGTCTTTGTAGTCCAGCCTGGTCTACAAAGCAAGTTCTAGGACAGCCAACACTGTCCTAGAACACAGAAAACCCTGTCTCAGACACACACACACACACACACAGAGAGAGAGAGAGAGAGAGAGAGAGAGAGAGAGAGAGAGAGAAAGAATGAGAGAGAGAATGACCACAGTCACTGGAATAGAAAAGGTAATGGTTGGGGCTGGAGAGGCTTGCTGCTCTTGCAGAGGTTCAGGGTTGGGTTTCCAGTACCCACACAGCAGCTTATAACTGTCAGTGACTCCAGTTCTAAGGGATCAGATACCCTCTCCTGGCCTCAGTTATGCATGGGGTACACAGAATATATACAGGCAAAACAGCTATAAACATAAAATAAAAACAACAAATCTTTTTTTTTTCTTTGTGTTTTCTCTGTGTAACGGCTCCAGCTTTCCTGGAACTCATTCTGTAGACCAGGCTGGCCTCGAACTCACAGAGATCCACCTGCATCTGCCTCCCGAGTGCTGGGATCTAAAAGCTTGTACCACCACCGCTTAGCCAAAAACCAGTAAATCTTAACATTAAGAAAAAAAAATTAAGCCAAGCGTTGGTGGCACACTCCTTTAATCCCAGCACTTGGGAGGCAGGCAGATCTCTGTGAGTTCAAGACCAGCCTGGTCTACAAGAGCTAGTTCCAGGACAACCTCCAAAGCCACAGAGAAACCCTGTCTCAAAAAACCAAAAACCAAAACAAAACAAAAAAATGAAAATAACAGAAAAGGAGCTGAAGAGATGGCTCAGTGGTTAGGAGAAACTGTTGCTCTTGCAGAGGACCCAGGTTTGGATCCCAGAACCCATAAAGTGGCTCACAACCATCCATAACTCCAGTTCCAGGGGATCTGGAGTCCTCTTCTGACCTCTGTGGGCACCAGGCCTGCTTACGGTGCACATTCATACATTTAGGCAAAATGCTCATATACCTGAATTTACAAAAGAAAAAAAGAAAAAAGAAAAGAAAACCACCCTGCCTTTTTAAGAAAAAAGGAAGGAAGGGAGGGAGGAAGGAAGGAAGGGAGGAAGGAAGGGAGGAAGGAAGGAAGGAAGGAAGGCAGGCATGATACTGGGCATAACAGGACTAGAGCTGGTGAGTGGGGAAGCCAGAGCAAAGGATGGAGGAAAGAGGCTCGGATACCACCATCCCGTCCGCCACGATACATGGCATGCCTCACACACATGTGTGTACACTGATTCCAAAGGGCACTAGGCCTTTGTCCCGGTGACGTGGGCCCTGGCAGCTCTCCTGCCATCCAATGCCCCACCTTACAGAGAGGCCCGGTGAATCAGTGAGGAGGGCCTGGTTCCAGGCAGCTCCGTGAGAATAGCAATCCAGGGTAAACCACTTCACCTGCTAAGGCTGATAAGGAGAATGAAGAGAAGTGAAGCCTTTCCCCTCTAAACACTCTGATCCCACCTCCCAGGAGTGGTCTTCAGACAAGAAGCAAGATAAGGACAAACCTCCGGATGGCAACACTAGTCGATAAGAGGGATCCAGAGATGCAGGATGACACAGGACTGCTGCCTCCCTAATAGATCCAGGCAGGAATGGGCAGGGAAGGCTAGGGCCAAACAGAGAGGGAGGAAGGGCCAGAGCAGTCACACCTGAGACTCAGACAGGGACAATGTTGAAACAACACCATTTCCTGCCATTGACATGAGTCTGGGAAAGGGAAGTCAAAGTCTTCATGCTGCATGCGTGACTGAAGTCCCTGTTCCTTCCCTCTTTCTACAAGATCCCCTTTGCCCTCACGCCTTTGATCCCAGCACTTGGGAGGCAGGCTGTGAGTTCAAGGCCAGCCTGGTCTACAGAATGGGTTCTCAGAGGAGGTATAAAAATAATAATAATAAAATAATAAAAAAAGACCCTCTTCTCCTCTGGCTCCTAAGGTAAGGACAGAAATTGTTATGAAAATGGGAAATGGGGCCGGGCGTTGGTGGCACACGCCTTTAATCCCAGGACTCAGGAGGCAGAGGCAGGTGGATCTCTGTGAGTTCGAGGCCAGCCTGGTCTCCATAGCAAGTGCCAGGACAGCTTCCAAAGCTACAAAGAGAAACCCTGTCTCAAAAAACAAAAACAAAAACAAAACAAAAGAAAAAAAATGGGAAATGGGAACAATCCCAAGTCTTATTCCCACAACACCACAGGACGGGGTCCTTCTGGTTCCCAGTTCTGATGATTGAGGTGGGCAGAGGAAGTGCAGATGAGAAAAGGGGGGTTCCACTCAGACACCCCCCAGTTTCTCCTTTATTGAAGTCAGGAAGGTTCCCTCTGCCCCCTTCACTGTGAATGAGACTACTCAAGGCTCTAAAATTCTGGAAGAACTGGTCTCACCCTCCTCCTCCACCAGGGCAGTGATGGGGCGGAGGGCGGCAGAGGTTACATCACAGCTGGGTGGAGTCTGAAGAAGAGCGTTCTTGATGACATACAACAGAGGCAAGTTCCGCACAGCTGCCTGTGCCTTCCCTCCACTCCAGGGCCTCCCACAAACATAGGCAGTGCCTCTGGGACTTGCATCCCTACCCATTTCATGGGGCCCCATCGGCTCTGCAGACAGTGTTAGGTAACAAGCGTTTATTGGCAACCTGCCTACCTGCTCCAAGTGGGATACTGGGCTAGACCTGAAGGATACAAAACTGAGAAAGCCTCGTCCCTGACCACAAGGAGTTCACAGTCTACTCAGGGAGACAGTGACACAAGAATGTGAACATACGGCATAGTGCACTATGAGACAAGGGGATATGGTAAAAGTTCACAAAAGCAATGGTCCTTTGAGCAGAGTTCTAAGGGTGCATAGAAGGTATCTAGGAGATGGTAGAGGAAGCTTCCAGGCTGAGAAAATAGCTGAGACAAGCATGAAGGACACGGCACAGAGGCACTGTGGCACAGGGTATTAAACGAGAGAGGAGTCTCAGAGATGGAGGAGAATGGCCAACCCTTTACTATACTCATCTTACTCTAGGCCCCACCCTGGGGAGTCAGGGAAGGGGAATTGCCAAAGAACTAATAAAGGGGGCTTTTGGGTGGGGTTCCCCACCCAAGTTCAAGAAAGGGGGCAGACATCTGTGTCTCTGAAGGTGGCGCGGCGAGGCCAATCTCTGGTCATGGGGTAGGAAACCTGTGGCCACTTTTCCGAGCCTTGTTTATATTTGTTCGTTGGTCGTTTCCCAGGAAAGTTCCTTGTCAAAGTTCCAAGTCTGGCTTGGCTGATCCAAGGGAAAAGGAGACTTGTTTGAGCTTGTGCGGAAAGCAGTGTTCAGAAGCATGAGCCGGGCAGCTCAGAACAGCTCATTAGCTGCTGTTCTCTGGATAACTTCCTGGCCCCTTATTTAGCCTACTCCCTCAGGCACACCAAAGGCAGCTGGGCAGCTGTTGAAGGTGCCACTGAAGATGAGATATACTTCGGTTTACCCAGGAGCACTGGCCTGGGTGAGAGGACAACTCTCCTCTCTCATGGCTCCCCCAGGGCACAGGCAGAAGGGCCAGGCACTGCAGAATCCAGTGGATGGGCACAGGGGCCTAGGGTTGCATAGGCAGGCGGAGGGGCCGTCAGGGCCAGGGAAGGGGCTGTGCCCTGCTGGGGCAAAGAAGGCAGTGGGGATGTAGGGTGGGGACAGAATCGGGAGGGGAAGGAGGAAGCCGGAGTGGAGGCCACTTCCCTCGCACCCCTGGCCCCTCGTCCTGGAGACCAGTACCGGCTTCTGAACCTGTGCAACAGCATGAGGACTGTGATGACCAGGAGGTCAAAGATGAGCTCGGCCATTTCCACCACAGACAGCACAGACGAGCCGAACCACAGGCTCCACTGGCTGCCCAGGTTAGACAGGAGGGTGACCATCTGCCAGGAGAAAGAAGCACAACCCCCCTCTTACCAAGCCAGCTCCCTTTGTACCCGGGGCCCACCTGGGCCTCCCCACCATGCAGGGGCAGCTCCTACTTATCATCCCACACAGAAAAATGGTCATGAGACCAGCAGAAACCGGGGTGCATCTCAAGGGCCTTCTCCCAGTTGTGTGTCACACAGGCATCCCTCCCACACCCAGACCTCACACCCCAGCTCCCTCCTCCAATGTGTCCACTTTATCCTGGACCCCACTTCCTTTTCCTTGTCTTCTACCCCTGGGACACAAACCCTTCTGGCCCCACAAAGGTGACCCCTCATCCTCCCTCACAGCCACCCCGCCAAGCCCCCAGGAGACCACAGGCTCCCTGACTAAGGCAGGCCCTACCGTGACGGAGGGAGACTCCGAATTAGTTTTATAGTTCAGCTCCTTGAAGAAGATGTTGAGTTTTGCGACTCCATTTCTTTGGGGAGTGGGAAAGAGTGGGAAGAGATGTCAGAGGGTTAACACCAAAGGCCCTCTTCCCAGCACCCCCATCAGAACCTCCGTTCCCAAAGGATCCTGCCCAGGAGTAGGCCTGACCTTTTGTTGTTGATTGTGTAATTATTCTGCAAGGACAACATCTCGAAGATCCAATCCTGGGGAAAAAAAACGGGAGGGTGGGCAAGGAGGTCACCCCTGTATTCCTCAGGTTTACAGGGATAGATGGTATCAGTCATATGTACCAGCATGTATAACACTCAAAGGACCTCTGTGTTATGCACGCTTGCACGTGTGTGCAACTGTGTTCTCATGTACATCCACCCCCCTCCCTCCACCTTACCTGGGACTTCACAGAGGGCCATCTTGAGTAGCCAGCAGAGAGCTTGTAGTTGGTCACACTGCAGACAGATAAAAGCACTCGGTGAAGAGTGGGGCTCTATTAGCTACTTTCATCCTACCCAGCCAAGCAGATGCTGCCCAGCCCACGCCGGGGAAGGACCCTTACCTGCACGGCTTCCGACACTTGGAGAAACAGCCCAGGCTGTCCAAGGAGAAGGCACCCTGCAGCTTATAGTAGCAGTAGCCTGTGGGTGCAGAGAAGGGCCTGGTTTCTGAGGGCATCTCCCCTTCTCCACACACAGAGCCTTCCACACTGCCTGGGCACCCACTTTACAAGAGCATTTCAATGGCACCTCAGGAGTAGCAACCACAGCAAAACTGTTTAAGAAATTAAGCTAAGCTGGGGGTGGGGAACAGTCATACAAATATGTGTTCAAAAGGCACAAAAATTAAAAGTCAGAAAAAAATGGGAACAATGATTACATAATAAAGGGGTTAAACCACAATGACAAACACTCACTAGGAAAACTATTAAAAAAAAAAAAAAACTGCCAACAAGGACTGCTGGGACCATCATTTGCTGCAGCTGGGACTATGAGATGGTACAGCCACCTCCAAAAGTATGGCAGTCCCTCAGAAAGGCGAAACTATTACCATGAGCCAGCTATTCTCCTAGGTGTGTAAGAGGAGAACTGGACTCATAAGTCCACATTGAGGACATGTATACAGATGTTAGTCATAAAACCCCAAATTAGAAACAACCGAAATATCCATCAGCTGGCTAAGTGAATAAACACAAAGTACAGCCAGCTGGGAATGGTGGCACACACTGGTAATCCCAGCACTCATGGGCCTCAGGCAGGAGGACTGCTGTAAATCTGAAGCCTGCCTGGGCTACAGTATGAGATTCTGCCTCAATAAACAAAAGTTTTATATCTATGCAACAGGATATGTAACAAGGAAAAAAAGAGTTGACGCATGTTATACATGGATGGAAACATTGTTAAGTGACAGAAGCCAGTGGCAAAGGACATGTTTATGACTCCATCTACATGAAATGTTCAACGCAGGGGCTAATGGTTTCCCAGCATTGGAAGGGAGAGGCAGGTGGATCTCTGTGAGTTCGAGGCCTGCCTGGTTTACATAGTGAGTTCCAAGACAGCAGACATATGTATCAAGACCCTATCTCAGTAAATAAATAGATGGATATAAAAAAAGAATTTAGGCTGGTGGTGGTGGAGCACATCTTTAATCCCAGCACTTAATCCCAGGCAGAGGCAAGTGGATCTCTATGAGTTCAAGGCCAGCCTGGTTTACATAGTGAGTTCCAAGACAGCCAGAGCTACACAGAAACCCTGTCTCAACAAGTCCAAAACAAAGAACTTAGGAAGAATTGTTGGAAAGCAGGGAGGGGAATAGAGAAGGACCCCCCAAGCCAGCTGCCCACGGCCCTGTTCATGCTGGGACTCACGTCTTCCCTGATGCGTCTGCCTGCCCATCTAAGAATGGCGATACCAGTGGCCTCTGAGTTCCCTCCAGTTCTGACTATCTGTGATCCTCCAAGGTGAGGGGCAGGAGGCAGGGGACAGGAGGCGGGGGCAGGGAGCAGGGGCAGGGGGCAGGGAGCAGGGGCAAAGGGCAGGAAGCTGGGGGCAGGGGCAGGGGCACTAGGCGAGAAGAGGTAGGAGGCAGGAGACTACCCTGACAAGAGCAGTGGCAGAGGAGTCCTGTCAGAAGCAGTTCCAGGCTAGAAAGGAGGCAGGTACCACAGACAGGTGTGACTGGGACAGAGGTGAAACAACTCCACAGAGCCCTCCTTGTGTCCATAGTGTCTGGTGCCTTGTCCCCGCCAGCAATGGCCCTGGCCCTTCATTTTTCACCCTGCCCTTGGATGAGGGCTAGAGGGGCCCCTAGGGGGAACCGTCTACAGGACAAGTGTCTGTGCAGATGAGAGCATGCCGGTCAGGACCATGAGGGATTCCTGCTATCCCATAGTTCCTGTTAGGACATCTTTCTCCCAGCATTCTAGGATAGCTCTGCCACAGTGGAAAGGGAAAGGGTGTGTCTAAGACAATGGCCGGATAAGCAGGGCATGCCAGGTCTCTCCAACTTGTTTGCTTGTGCCCTGCTCCAGGTAAAAGCATTCTCTAACAAATGAATGTGCATTTGATTTACAAATTACATCCCAGGGGAAGAGACAGCTCAGTGGGTTGAGCCCCTGAACCTGATCAGAGTTGAATCTGTGATTCCTGTGACACAAGTACACCCACAAGCAGGCATACATCACACACACACACACACACACACACACACACACACACACGTGCACACACGCACGCATGCACGCACGCACGCCCGCGCATGCACACATACACCCACACTCTCTTTTTCTCTCTCTCTCTCTCACACACACACAGAAAGAGGGGCATGGAGGGAGAAAGGAACAGGGAAGGAGGGAAGGAAGGAAAGAGGAAGGTTGGTTAGTTTAACTCACAAATTGCATCCCTGGAATGCCAAAATGTACAGCACATAGTTTTTCTTTCTTTTTTTTTTTTTTTTGTTTTTGTTTGTTTGTTGGTTTGGTTTGTTTTTTCAAGACAGGATTTCTTTATAACAGCCCTGGTTGACCTGGAACTCACTTTGTAGACCAGGCTGGCCTCGAACTCACTGATATCCACTTGCCTCTGTCTCCCAAGGGCAGGGATTCAAGGAGTGCGCCACCACCATCCAGCTCCAGCATATAGTTTCTAAAACACAAAGAGCTGAGACAGAAACACAGGACTCTAATAATTTCTTCCTAGGCCCCAGTGAGATGTTGGGTGCTCTACCTAAGCCCCACCACAGCCAGTCCTTCTGAGCACCCCAAGAATGAGCAGGCACACGGAAACACTGCAGGAGGCGCACTAGGCACACACTACCTACCTTCTGCTGCAGGTTATTTTTCAAAAGAACAATTCTTTCACGCAATGCACAAAAGCCAAAGACAGGAAGGAAAGAGGGAGGGAAACAGGCAGAGACTAGGGGCAGAAAAGCCAGCAATAGGGAGCCATCCCAGACAAGGGCTCTGGAAGCCAGGCACTTAGGGAAGTAGAGGTGAGCTGTGGACAGTGCAAGGGCTCTCCTGCTCACCCCAGGAACTCTGCTTTCGGTAGTCACAGAACTCTACACCCTTGGGCTTAGGGTAGAAGATATAGGCACAGCCACACTTCTTGATCATGTTCTCCTGGAAGCAGGAGTGAATGCACACCTGCAGGGGAGGGGAGGGGAGAGGCGAGAGGCTTCAGGCCTGGCCCAACCCCACTGTCTGTGAGCCCCAAGTGCAGGAAGGCTGAGCCCTTCTAACCACTGTGCCAGCACCGCCCTTTCTACTACCCCGACCCATTTCCTCCTCCATCCAAAGTGCAGTCCCCTAATGGCTGTGACAGGCTCTGTGTACCTGCTGCGTGTACTTGGAAGGGTAAAGGTTCTTGACAGGGACATCACTGCCATTCTCAGTACAGTCACCATAATTGCCTCCAAGGCTGTCCAGGGCTTCCTGTGAACCCGGGCACATGAAGAGATCACAGGTGAGGGGGCACAGCCAGCGACCCAGGCTTCCCCCTGACTTTATAGTCTTCCCTCAATCCCAAGAACTAACTCACACCCTGCCAGCAGCAGCCTATCAGCCTCCCCAGCTCAAAAACATGCTCCAGCACTCCCAGACAACTCCCATCCCTTGTACTACTTTGGAGCCCATGCATGGATCCAGAGCATCCTCTGATCCTAAGGAAGTCCTGAGCCCTTCTTAGCAATGGAGGTCTTCTCAAGCCTTGCTCCCCATGCCCCCTAGGCTTCCTTCTCCGTCCAGTTCTGCTCCTGACAACCTCCGCATGATGGAACCTACTCACAAGGCCTCCCTTCAGTCTCCAGTCCCCATCTTCCTCCCTCCAATGGGGCCCTCTTCACAGGCTCCCCATCACGCATCCTTGCCTTCCTCATGCTGATGGAGGTCTCCACACCAGGCCGCAAGTTGAAGCCACCGTCATCCATGAAGGCAGGCTCATCCTGCCCATGCACCATCACCCTGGCCCCTGTCACTGTGGACAGCAGGGGGATGAAGTCGTTCTGCTCTGTGCGCAGTGTCAGAGACAGACCTGAGGATGCAGCAGGAGAAGAGTTGGGGATGGAGACCCACCCTCTCTCCCCTGTAGAGTCCTTCATCTCCTGGTGGAACAAGACCTGTAAGCCCCTCAGGTAAACTTGGTTACACAGAGCTGGATTCTCAGCCAGGCTTAAAGCACAGAATTCCTTCCATGCCTAGAATGCTATTGGGGCGGGGGAGCATGGGGGGGGGGCGGGGGACAGAAAGGACAGAACAGACCCTTCCAGAATAATGAGGGGCATATCAAGGTGGGACCCAGAAAGTGCCCAGCATCTCTAGAACATAAGCCCACGGTGAGTGAGGAAGGGTGTAATGAGGACAGGAGCTGCTCACCATTGTTGACTCCCGGCATGGAAGACATCCAGAGATTGGAGTTGTTCTTGTTGTTGAATGTGTAGCAGTTCCCATACATGGGGTGGTGGAACTGAGAATAATTCCTTAGTGGGTAAGAGAGCAAGGGCAACAGGATCAGAGGGGGGGTACAGGAGGTGAGCGAAGCATGAGGTGAGGCAGAAGAGATCAGTCCCCTCCTGTCTGCTTCCTGTCACCTCCTGTGTGTCCACATCACACTAGGAGGTCTGCCCCTGCTCCCTCTGTCACTCCAGCCAACAGGCTCATTCTACATCACACAAAACAAGGCCACACAGACATAGTGGCTGGCTTGGGATTTACATGAGTGATCTTGTGTGGTACAGGCCTTATTTTATCTTTTTCTGAAGAACAAAAGTCTCCTAATCTCTGTGTTTGAGATCCACCCATGATGCCTCATCAGATCTGCTGATTCTACCTGTGACTTGCCACCCCTGGTGTGAAGCCACCCCTGGTGTGAAGCCACCCCTGGTGTGAAGCCATCCCTGGTGTGAAGCCATCATCTCCAGTGTGGCTCCACCATACTGTGCCCTTCTCCCCAAGGCACACAGACAGTGATGAGGGGCCTGGGATTCAGACCCGCACATCTCCTCGAGAGCCCAGCTTCTTCTCCTCTAACCTCCCTGCTGGGTTCCTTGTGTCCTCTCATGTTATATTAAGACATTAGCAATGTCCCTAACTCTTCAGCATCCAAATCTTGCTTCTCCATTCATATTGAAACATCCTTGAGGACAGGAACCACACCTCATTCATCTCTGTCTTATTCTGGGGTCAGAAACATGGTTCCTGGCGCACAGGCAACACAGGGGGTTCACTGATATCTAGTTATGAGTGCATGAGTTAATGAGGGGAGTGGAGAGATGGAGGAAAACAGCGTTAGAGGAAGGAGGGGAACCCACAGTGAGCATGGGACAGAGGGGAAGATGTTCAGAACACAGGGAGGAGGAAACAAAGCCATGCTTGCCAGAGGCCTCAGAGTGCCTGCGTATCTCAGATGGTCTATAACAGGCCATGCTGCTACAGCAGAAATGCCGAGTGACAGCAAAGCACAGAGCTGTGTGGGAAGAGGGGACCTGTGTTCTACGCCCTGCTGTTTGGGGGATGGCAATGGGGACAGGACAAGAGGAAAATGAGGCTCTGGCCTGTGACCAGTAGAGAAGTCAGAGGGGACACTGACTAGCTAGCGGTAAGGGTGGCTCTGGTCATGTGTCCCTGAGCTGGCCATATTTCCCAGGGATATTCTCTTCAACACACACACACACACACACACACACACACACACACACACACACACACACACACCACACGTAATAAATTATTTTTAAAGAACAAAGCCCCATCCAGGTGTGGCTGTAATCCCAGCACTTGGGAGGCCGATCCAGAGGGTTGCTGCCAGCATGAGGCTAACTGGGGCTACAGGCTACACAGTGAGTTCCAGATCAGTCTGGGATAAGAGTGATACATTGTCAGAAAACAAAACAAAACAAAACAAAGGCTCAAAAGTTCAACTCCCAATATTTGAACTAACTCTAAGAAATATTAGAAAGGTGGCCAAACAAGTTTCTTTCTTTCTTTCTTTTTTGAGTTTATTGAGACAGGGTTTCTCTGTGTAATCCTGGCCATCGTGGTACTCGCTCCTCGAACTCAGATCTGCCTGCCTCTCTCTGCCTGGGATTAAGGGTGTATGTCACCATGCCTGGCTTAATCTCCCTCTCTGTCAAATGAAGATGGCAGAAACAGCTAGAGTAGGGCACTAAGGACTAAGTTAAAGTATTAATACTTATTAAGAACTGTATTAGCACTGGGCATTGGTGGCGCACACCTTTAATCCCAGCACTCGGGAGGCACTCTCTGTGAGTTCGAGGCCAGCCTGGTCTCCAGAGCAAGTACCAGGATAGGCTCCAAAGCTACACAGAAAAACCCTATCTAGAAGAACAAAAAAAAAAAAAAAAAAAAAAAAAAAAAAAAAAAAAAAAACAAAAAAAAGAAGAAGAAGAAGAAGAAGAAGAAGAAGAAGAAGAAGAAGAAGAAGAAGAAGAACTGTATTAGCTTCCCATTAAGGTGGTAATGATTCATTAAATTGGCTAAAGTAAAAAGGCAAACGGGCTAGCAGGATGGCTGGGCTGGCAAAGGTGCTTGCCACCTTAAGGGTGAGAAAACCAAATCCCCAAAACTGTCTTCTACACACATGCACATATGCACATAACTAAAGGCAGTTTGTTGTTGTTGTTTGTTTGTTTGTTTGTTTTTAAGATAGACAATAACAGGTGGAGGATGTGGAGAATTTAGATCCCTCAGGATTGCTGACAAAGCATGTCCCTGTGCACAGTCCAGCAGTGCCTCCAAATCTGAAACAGTGATGTGACCCACAACCCAAATCCTACATGCACCCAAGGGAAACTAAAACATTGTCAGCGTGAAAGCTTACTCAGACACATTTACATCAGCGCCATTCATAAAGGCCAAAGAGCAGGCACGTCCCTTATCACAAGGTTGTGATATGTCTGTACAACGCGGTATTATTTGCTCATACATGAGTTCTGACACATGCTACAGCATAGATAAACCTGGAAACATAGGCTAAGTGAAAGAAGCCACGAGTCACAAGAGATGCCATACACACACACACACATATATATCTGCATGCTAGGCAACCAATCTACCACTGAACTACGCACATCCCTACCCCTTGTATGAACGCTCCAAAAAGAGCAGTCCATGAAGACAGAAAGCAGATTAGTGGTTCCCAGGGCTTGAAAGAGATAGAATGGGGAACTGCTAATGGGTAAATGGGTTTCCTGGGGGTGGGTGAGGAAAATGTTCTAAAATTAGACAGTGGCAATGGTTGCACAACTCTAAATATTTTAAAACCACTAAACTGTGCATATGAATAGGAAGACTCTCACTACCTGTTACTAAGGGAAAGATTATGTCTGAGGATTCAGGTCAGTGATGTAGAGTGCTTCCCTGCATGTTGGGATGGCCCTT